ATTTTATATGCTAAAGTATAGGGGGTCTCAGAAAAATAAGTTATGGACCAATATCGCAACGACCATTTATACGTTTTAAAAGGAAAACAAAAGTTTATAAATATATATATAAATATATGTCCTGGGTATTTTTTGAGTTCTCTGTTGTGCTGTAAAAAATATGTGGATTTCTAATCAGGCTGATTTTCAGAGCCATTAATATAATATTTAAAGTTGAGTTCACTGGATTATTTTTGTCTCGCCCAACGGTTCCTAACTTCCAAATTCATGACAAGTGATTTCTTCTTCTTCTTCTGTGTACAATTATGCAATAGATTTTCTTTCGTTTTAGAGCTGTTCTTTTCGCAAGACGAGGAAATAATTTATTTTTTGCTGGTGGATTTTTTTTTTAAGGAAAAAATAGACAAAGTATCTGATACTTTTTTATTATTATTTACGACGTGTGATGTTTTGTATAATAGATTTCACTTTTACCATTTCTAAGGACTATTTGCTTTAACCTGCTTCAAAGTTCGTTTGTCTTATGTGGTCCTAATTGTTGTACTTACCTTAAAATAAATCCATGCTGGTTTTTTCTGCTCCAAGTCTGGCGCTTCTCTGTGTATAAACTGGGGATTTTTTAACAGGTTTTTTTTTTCCTCCTTCACGCAGAAAACGTGGCAGTGGTTGATTTTAAAACAAAAACGATTTTCCTGAAGCTTTCTGAGAGCTTTCTTTCTCGGAGACAAGGTTGAATTCACGTGAAGAGCTGGAATTGTACAAGCGGGGAGGGTGGGGAAGGAAAACCACGGCGGGGCTGAGCCCCCTCAATCCCAAATCCCTTCCAGCGTGAAATTTCGGGAGTTTTCCCAGGCCTGCCATGGGGAAAACAGGAAAACAGGAGGCGCAGGGAGGGGAATTCCTGCTCCTCTCGCCCCGTCCTTGCGAGCGCGGGGCTCTTTCCAGGGCAGCAAACACCCACTCCCCCCAAAAAATCCATTTATTTTATTTATTTGGTTTTCTTGCAAGGAATCCCCAGCGCCTGGGAGTGAGAGCCGTCATTCCAACCCGGCCTCGCTGCGGAGTCTTAGAAAGGTGGAAAGTTCACTCGAGAACCATTTCGGGTTTGAAATCCCCTCTTGGTTTGAAGAATTGGCTGATTTTGGGCTTTTTCTTCAGCTATTGAAGCTCCTGATCTCAAGGCCGGGCACTGCCAGGTATTCTGGCTTTTCCCAAATCATCCTTTAACCTGTTCAAGCCTTTTAATCCAGGGTAAAACGCCGGATTTAGCAATCCCGACAGCCTGGGAATGCCGGCAAAGCCTAAAGCCGAGTTTAGGAGGTCTTTGGAGCTTTTCAAACGCAGCTCTCTGGAGCCAGGCTCCTTTTCCAGCTGTAAAATCCCATCCATGCAGCATTTCCAGGGGAAAAATCCCAACCGTGCCCCATCCCACCTCCCGCAGCCCCCCAGTGCCCCTCAAAACCCATTTTTTTTTTGGTTCGGGAGGGGTTATACCCACGTCAGGCTGTTGAAATCGATGATTTAAATTGGTTTTGACCGGTTAAATTTCGCCTGCGCTTGAAAGCTGGCAAAAAGCAGCGAAACTCTCGATTTAAATGAGAAAAAAATGTCCGAACCTCACTTGATCTGTATTTTAAGGAACATTCTTGTAGAAATGCTCCTCGCCGTTTTTCCTGGCTCTTAGAGGGTGTTTTAAATCTAATTTTATATTTTCTTCTTTTTTATTATTTTTTTATGAAATAAAAGTCAAAGTCCTCTCTCAATAAGAGAAAACACAGAGTGCAAAGTATTAAAAAATAGGGAAATAAAGGGAGCAAAACGGTGAAAAGAAAGTAAATAGGAGAAAAAGAGGGGAAAAATATGAATTGGGAAATAATTCCTCCCCAGTCCAGACTGTCTTCCCGCGGGATTTTTTCCTGCTTGGACCCCGGGGTGGCTGTGGGGGGAGAGGGCTGAAGTCAGGTGCTGCTGTGGCTTTTCCCACACGCCTCGAGCGATGCCGGGATGGCTCCCACATCTTCCCACCAGGGCGCTGGGAATTTGGGGACCCTTCTCCTCAGGCAGGGATGGGATGCGGGAGCGGGACCCGGGGCACCCCCAGGGCTCTGCAGCCTCCCCCGCCTGCTGCTGGACAGTTCCTGGCGTCCCTTTCCCCCCCAGACTCCTTTTTTTTGGTGTTTCTTTCCCCACCTCGCCCGCAGGTCGCTCCCGCACGGGATCTGCGCCGCTCCCGTCCCCTGTCCCGTGTCCTGTCCCGTGTCCCGTCCCTCTGGAGCGCTCCTGGGGGGCTGCGAGCATCGTCCCTCTGCTGTGCCCCCCTGTCCGAACCCCAAACACCCCACGGGGAGCCCTTTGGGGTGGGCTGGTGTGTCGGGAGAACCTTTTGGGGTGGGCTGGTGATTCTGGAGAGCCTTTTTGGGGTGGGCTGGTGTCACGGGGGAGCCTTTTAGGGTGGGCTGGAGTTTCATGAGAGCCTTTTAGGGTGGTCTGGTGTTGCAGGGGAGCCCTTTAGGGTGGGCTGGTGATTCTGGAGAGCCTTTTTGGGGTGGGCTGGTGTCACGGGGGAGCCTTTTAGGGTGGGCTGGAGTTTCATGAGAGCCTTTTAGGGTGGTCTGGTGTTGCAGGGGAGCCCTTTAGGGTGGGCTGGTGATTCTGGAGAGCCTTTTTGGGGTGGGTTGGTGTCGCAGGAGAGCCTTTTGGGATGGCTCGTGTCTCATGAGAGCCCTTTGGGGTGGGCTGGTGTCTCATGAGAGCCCTTTGGGGTGGGCTGGTGTCGCAGGGGAGCTGAGAGGATCCTTTGGTGACTGTTTAAAAGCCGCGATAGGGATCTCGGTACCGCGATCAGAATCTGTCGCGACAGGTGACTCCAGCCTGGCCGGAGCAGAAGGAAGAAGTGAAGGAAGGAGGAAGGCCCGGGGTAACTTTTGGAGGCAGCCATGACCAGATTTGGCTTGCAGCCCGCTGAAGGAGCAGCACAAACCCCGCACAGCCCCTCTCCCCCAGGTCAGGGGGCAGGTTTGGCCCCGGGACTGGCTGGTGCTGCTGTAGGGCCGGTAGCCCCGGGCTGGGGCTCAGGGGGGCTCCGGGAAGAGGATGAGAATGATGGATGGGTTTCCTATTTTTTTTTTCTTGTATTACCATTCACACCGGGTTTGCAAACCTGTCCCAAACCCCAGCCAGTTTCGGTCTTGGGGAGCAGAGCCAGCGGTTTTCCATCTCATTCCCACAGCCCAGTCAAGGGAGCGTTTCCCTGGTGCTCCAGGCCCCGGGTGGAACACATTCCCTCCAGGAATCCCCCCAGGAATCCCCCCAGGCCTCCGCACAGCCCAGCAGAGCTGCCTTGTCCCTCCCAAGCAATCCCACCTTCCCTGGAACTCGTGGGACGGCGCCGGCCGAGCGGTTTTTGGGGAAGGCCACGAGCTCTTCTGTCATTTCCGAAGGGACTTCGCAGAAAATCCACAGCCGGCACTGGAAGGCCGGGAGAGAAGGAAATCCATCCCTGATCCCGGGGGTACCGAGAGATCTGGCATCTGTGCTCGGCCAGGGGCGAGGGGCAGCAGCTCCGGGAGGTCATCCCTGAGGAGCACGGCCGGGATGCGGCACGATGGGGAGCTCTGGGTCACACCCCTGCTCTCCCCCAGGCCGGGATGCGGCAGGAATGGGGATCATGGATTTACGTTCCTGCTCCCCTCCAGGCTGGGATTCAGCAGGAGTGGGGACCGCTGTTTTTTGCCCTGCTCCTCACATCCTCGGGTGCTGCAGAAGTAGGGAGCTCTGATTTACACCCCCTTTCCCCCATTTCCCGCAATGCAGCAGGAATGAGGAGCTCTGATTTACACCCCATTTTCCCTGGGCAGGACTAATGCGGGAGTGGGGATCGCTGATTTACAGCCCTTGTTGCTCCCAAAATTGTGATGCAGAAGGAGTGGGGAGCCTGCTCCCCCCATTTCCCGGCACGGATCAGAAATGGGGATCACTGATTTACAGCCCTTCACTGATTCACACCCCTTCACTGATTTACACTCCTTCTTCCCCATTTCCTGGGATGGATCAGGAATGGGGATCACTGATTCACACCCCTTCACTGATTTACGCCCCTTCTTCCCCATTTCCCGGCGTGGATCAGGAATGGGGAGTTCTGATTCACACCCTTCTTCCCCCCAAGGCTGGGATGCAGCAGGATTGGGAATTCCCGATTTCCGCCCTTTCTTCCCCCCTTTCCCGGGATGCAGCAGGAAAGGGGAGCTCTAATTCACACCCCTTCTTTCCCATTTCCCGGGATGGATCGGGAATGGCAATCCCTGATTTCCACCCCTGCTGCCCCAATCCTTAGGTGCAGCAGGACTGGGAATCCCTGATTTCCACCCTTTCTTCCCCGTTTCCCGGGATGCAGCAGGAACGGGGAGAGCTCATTTGCGCCCTGCTCCCGCCGGGGGCTCCGGGCGGGATCTCTCCTGGCTGCTGCTTTAAAAGGGGCTCGTCAGCTGGAGAGGAGGGGAAACTCATCCAGGAGCGCCTCCATCGCCGGCTCCGCGTTGTTTGTTTATTTTATTTTTTTTTGTGTGTGTGTGGTTTTTTTTTTTTTTTTTTTTTTTTTTGTGTTTTTTTTTTTTTTTTTTTTTTTTTTGTTTTAATTTTTCTTCTGTTTAGAGAAAGAGCGACGGTACCAACAGCATCAAGGAGAACCCCCCTCTGTCGCTTTCCCCCGGTCCCCCCGCAGCCGTCGGAGCCTCTCGGAGGCTGATCCCGTGCGGATAACGCAGCTGAAGAGCTCCAGCGATGCCGCCGGCAGGGAAGGGACACCAGGGATAACACGCAGCACATGAGCTGGGAAGAAGGAGCGGAGAGAAAAGCCGCGTCCCCGCCTCCAAGGATTTCCCACCGCCAAGAGGGGAAAACAAGAATTTGGCTGGGGGAGGGAGCTCGGGGAGAGAGCGGGAGCCCGTGACTGTCTCCTGCCGTACACGCGAGTATTTATTGTTCTACTAATCCGCGCCTGGAGCGTCTCAAGCAGCGGGGGACTCCCCGAGGTGCGGAGAGGAGGAGGCTGAGGGGGGAAGACCCTCGCTGGCTGCTCTGAGGATGCTCCGGGCGGCTCGGAGCAGCCGCGCTCTGCTCCATCCCTCCCCGCCGGGGATGCTCCAGGGGCGGCGGGGCTGCTCCGCCAGACCCCTCCTTTCACCTCTCTCTTTATTTATTTGGGGGTTTACTGAGGTTTTGGCACGGCGGGCGGGTGCTGCAGCTCCCGGGGGCCGCAGGGCGCGGGGGGGATGCGGATTTAGGTGTTGGAGGGTGAGTTCCAGCCAGTGAGAGGGGAGACCCCCACACCTCCCACCCCCGAGAAGCCGCCCCCCTGCGCACCCCGGCTGCCTTTCCCAGGCTCTCCTGGAGGCTTCAGGGCTCCACAGCATCGCGCTGGGTTTTACCCCGGGGATGAAAAATCCTTCTCGCGACAGGGGAGCGACATTGGGGCAGAAACCCCATGGATGAAGGGGAACTTGCAGGGAAATCCGGGCACGGCATCGCCAGGGCCGGGCGGTGCTGGGGGACACCCGGAGCTCGGCTTTTACCTCCTCCCCTGCCAGGTAAAAATGCCGGCAGGCCCGTGGGAGCTGCGCTGCTGGGATGTTTCTCTGTGAAGGAGGAAAGGATAGGATCCCCCTCAGGCCTCTTCTTCCCTCCCTCGGAGAAAAGATGCTCCACAGGACAGGGGGTCCCTCCGGTCTAAACCCGCGGGGGGACTGGGGACACAGGCGACACCTCCAACTGCCTCGGAATCCCTCGGGGCCTCGGATTAAAGCTGTTACGTCAGTAAATGTTAAAAAAAAATAAAAATCCGACAACAGAAAACACAGCCCCAAACCTGGACGTTTATACAGAAAAAGAGCATCACAAATTCCTAATGTAAGCACCGGCCAGCTGTGTGCACTTGTAAAGTTGTTATAATCCCCCTCCTTGTTATAAACAGGAAAGTACATAATATAAAGCAACAGGCCCGCATTCACAAATACTGACCCTCCTCGCCGGGCCTGCCAAATTCCCCTTTTGCTGCAGCTCTGCCTGCTCGGGCTGCGAGCGGGGCTGCACAGGGGGTCCCCCTTCGCCCGTCCCCGGGGGTCTCCTCGGGGTGAAACCCGGGAGCGGGAGGTGCCAAGGACCCCTCCACACCTGATCCCCCTTCCCTTTTCCTCCCTCGCCATCGCAGCTCTGCTCCTCCCCTCATCCACCCCTTTCTCTTCCTTTCTTTAATTTATTTATTTTTTTAATTTTTGCGCTGTTGAATGCCCCAGTTTTGCTGGGGGATCCCTGCCCGCTGCTCCCCAGCTCCAGCAGTGAACATCCTGCTCTGCTGTGTGTGCTTACAGCGTCAAAGGGTGGACGTGATATTTCAAACATCAGATCAGTGCGTTTATATATTGGGTGCCCGGAAATTTTTCCAAATAAACACAGCTTGATTCGACTTGGGTGGGCAGACTTATCAACAGACTAATTCTATAAACAAATGAAGGAATAACCCGGAGACCATTGGCTGGTACCAGCGAGACACGTGGAGAGAGCTCGGAGTTTTGTAGCAATGAAATTTTAATTAATGTGGGTGGGCTGAGAACACAAACGACTGTTTATCAGAGACAATTTATTTTCCAGCGCTAAGTCAACATATAATAGCAAACTTACAACAATTATTTAACTTTTTTTTTTTCCTCCCTTTTTTTTTTTTTTTTTTTTAAGAGCTATGAAGCAGGGACAGAGGCAGAGCGAGCTCCTTCAGGCAGGGCTGCGAGCTGAGCTCGCACAAACAGCTCCCCGGTGGACTCGCCCCACGTTCCTGCCCTACCCCGTCCCTTCGCTGGGCTCCGAGGGGGAAGAAGAGGAGCTGCGAGCCCGCCGGCCATGAGCCACCTCTACGGCAGCCACCTCTCCCCCCTGGGCAGCCCGTCCATGGTTTACCTGCCCGCCGCGCTCGGCTTCGCCCCCGGGGGGGCGATGTCCCGGCAGGACCCCCCTCAGAAACCCCCGTACAGCTACATCGCCCTCATCGCCATGGCCATCAAAGAGGCTCCGGAGCAGAAGGTGACCCTGAGCGGCATCTACCAGTTCATCATGGACCGCTTCCCCTTCTACCACGACAACAAGCAGGGCTGGCAGAACAGCATCCGCCACAACCTCTCGCTCAACGACTGCTTCGTCAAGGTGCCCCGCGAGAAGGGCCGGCCCGGCAAGGGCAGCTACTGGACCCTGGACCCGCGCTGCCTGGACATGTTCGAGAACGGCAACTACCGCCGCAGGAAGAGGAAGCCCAAAGCCGCGAGCCCTCCGGACGCCAAGGGCGCCGAGCAGCCCGGCCCGGCCGAGCCCAAGCGGGCCAAGCCGGGCGAGCCGCGCCCGGCCGGGGCCACCGCGGCTCCTCCCGGGGGGCTGCCCCCGCTGCCCCCCGCTGCCGCCCCGCCGCACAAGAGCGGCAGCGGATCCCGGGGCCGCAGCTTCAGCATCGAGAGCATCCTGGCGCAGGGGCTGCGGCCGCCCGGGGCAGCCCCCAAGGAGAGCCCCCCCGGCCCGCTGGTGGCCGGCGGCGGAGTCGGGCCGGCCCTCAACGCGTCCCTCATGCTCGACTCCCAGGTGCACGGGAGGCTTTACCACATCGGCATCCCCTTCCTCTCCTGCTTCCCGCTGCACTTCTCCGAGGCGGTGTTTAATTTCCAGTAGCTGTCCCCGCAATTAACGCTCCCCACGCCCCCGAGCGCTGCTCCGGGGTGGGGTGGGGGGGAGAGATCGGACTCAGAGCTCACCACGCGGGTAAAGAGCTAAAAATCCCCCTCCCGAAGCGATGTTTTAAAGGTGACTCAGGATTTCAGGGCATTTTCAAGGCGCGTCTTGCTGCGGATTCTCTTTGGCGGGTGCCTCGCACCCCCTGCCCGAGCGACTGTGGAAGGTAAAAGCGATTTTGCGTTCCCGAGGGCGGTGGAGGTGCAGGCAGCACCGGGACAATGCCCACGCCGGCCCCAAGCCCCGTGGGGTTTGCTCTGCACCTTCAGTCCTTGCATCCCTCAGGTTCCTCAGAGCAGGTTTCCCTCGAGCCCTTCAGGTCTCTGTTTCCTTCTTTTATTTTTCCTTTGAAAGCCAAGCCCCATCCCGGGGGGAGGAGGCTGAGTTTTGTTTTGCCATCAGTACCCGCAGGTATTAATAATATCCATAATTTTGCCATGAATACTCACAGGCACATAACAATTCCTGACATTCCCCACTGGCCCAGTACTCCCAGTGGGTGACTGGAGCTGAGCTCGTGGCAGACCAAGCAATCCAGGCTCACCCTGGATATTCCTGCTTGCTTTGACAGCATGGTGTGGAACTGGTTTCGTGTTCAGCACTGCTGCTTTGGAGTATCCCCACAGGGTTTTTGCTCATGGATGGGGCCAAAAAAAGGGGATGGATGAGCAAACACGGATATTTGTCTTGTTCCATCTCTTACTGGGATCGGTTGCTTCTGACCAAAACCAGAGTGAGGCAGGGTTGTGGAGCACAGGAGAAATACCAGGGGAAAAAAAAAAAAAAGAAAAGAGACATCAGCTACATTTCTAAAGTTTTTTTGTTTTTTTTTTTTTTTTTTTTGTAAAGAAGGAAGAATCCCAACACGTTGCAAGAAATCAGGAATATTTTGTAATTTTTTTTGCCATAAATACAGGCTTTTTGTGTATTCGTGGATAAATGCTCTTTTGGGGAAAAATATTATATTCTCAATTTTCATTATGAAACCAAACCTATATCCAATAAAGGTATTTTTGTTCAGGATTGTGGCTGGTGTGATGTGAAACACCCCTTGGCTTGTGCTGGAGGATGGAGGAGTGGGGCCTGCTGCAAATATCCTGGTGCTGATGTGATGGGCCACAGAAAGATGGGAGAGGCTACAAAAAGGCTCCTGTTCCTTGAAACGGATGAAATCTTTCCCAAAATGATTGTTCCTCCTTCTCTTCCCCTTCTTTCATCCTACCTGTCTCAAAAGCCAAGCTTGGTCTTAAATGAGCAGCTGGATATTGGAAATGTGGGGTTTTCAGGTGAGTTTTGGTTCAGTTTTGCAGAGTAAGGTTGGCATCATTTCCTTGATGTTTGGACCAGGGCTGCTCATTCCAGCCCAAGGGAAAGAGCTCTCACGTGGGGAAGGACAGAAAATCTCCAAAAGGTGAGAACTGTTATTTAGCTTCCCCCAAAAAAGGATGCTCATAGGCAGATCCCTGGACTGGCTGAACTGGAACTTCTCAATGTGAAAAAAGAGAATAAAAATATACATAATAGACTTTATTTTAATAAAATCCCTTATTAGCTTCCTATTTCTGACAGCTGCTGTTTGAATATCTGTTGAGCCCATTGTTTAAAGTCCTGGCACTGAATTAGAAAATGAAGAAATATTTGCACAAGGTTGTGAAGGTGTCACTGCTCAGTCCCCACCAGAACTCCCGGGGCTGGGTGAGTGCTGAGAGGGTTAAATGTCCCTGTGTGCCACCCCTGGCCCTGCAGTGCCACTCCTGGGTGGCATTAGGGACAGGTACAGAAGGGGCCAGCTGGCCAGGGGCTTCCATTCCAGGCTGGCACTGACACCACCAGCCCCTTTGGGGTCTGGGAGGGGACAGGAAGGTGAAGGGGGGGGAAGATGAGCCCAGCAGAGCCCTCAGGTCCTCCCTGCACCCCTGAGGGGTGATTTGGGCTCGGGGTGGGGTGGGAGGTTGATGCTGCCTCCCAGACTTGTTTGATGGGTCTCCATCAAGCCCTTCCCTGTATCCCTGGTGTCCCCACAGCCCGGCCCATGGAAAGGTTTCACCCCACAAAATTGGATATTTATGCTCTCAGTCACCACTTTTAACCTGCATCTTCAGCTCCTCTGTTTCCCTTTCTCCTGACTTGGCCTCCCAGCTGTGACCCCCAGTTTTGTCACCTCTCAGCTCCTATTCCAGCCCCCAAAATACCTTTTTGGACCTGCAAACAGGGCTTTTATTCCTTTCCTACTCACACGTGTGGGAGCTCTCCCTGTCTGAGCCCTTTCTGCACAAGAGCAGTTTTTCAGTGGTGAAAAAAAGTGAGTCTCAGTTTAATACACCATGTATATTTTTATCACAGACACTTTTTTTTTGGAGACCCAGCTTTTTCTATGCAATGGGAATTTGTTTCTTTGCGAAGCTTTGCTTTGACATTTGATCTTATTTCTGTTTTGGTGGAGTGGAGTGGGACCAAGTACAGCTGCAGCCTTTAAAAGCCACATTGAGCTTGATTTTGGTTTCGCTTGAGGGAGTGAAATTAGTAAACTTAACATGCTTTGCACAAAAGTGACACTAACTCCAATGAGCTCAGAACCCGGTGAGCAGTTCTGAGGGGCAATTTGGAATTAATTGGGATCAGGCCAGTGCTGTAACAGGGGATAAATACCAAGAAAAAGGGTCTTATTGCCAGCAGGCTGGATGAGTAACCACACACGGCTTCTGCACGTCATCTGTTTATAGAGAGGGGAGAAGTCATGGTACAATAAAAACATACAGTAAAAACATAAAATAAAAACACACAGTAAGAACAACAGCAGAGCAATGAGTGTGCAGTCAATTCACCAATCCCTGCCCTTCGGATGGGGCTGAGCATCCTTTAATCCTCACCACATCCACGTGGATTTTGGTGCCACGGAAACATCAAGGACCTGAGAAACTGCAAGGAATTGGTGCCAATGGTTTCACACCTGTTTCACAAGCCCTTCACAAGCCAAAAAAACACAGAACTGCCACCCAGCATTTTGCTCATCCCTGGAATCTTCCTCCTCCTGCCTTTCCCAACCTCTCAGGGCTGGCTATAAACACCAGTCTGGAATACTGGGGAGAAGTGGAAGTAGCCTGGGATGCAGAATAAACAGCACACTGCCTGTGTGGGCGATGGAGATGCCTTCCCCTTCCTCTGCAGAGGAATGACCTCTCCCAGCCCAGCAAGGTTTCCCATCTCCCAGCTCTGCAGCCAATTTTAACTCCTAGGAGAAAGGAGATCACAGAGTGGGAGAGGCTCACAGAGGAGTTGTTTGGTTCCCAGAGGGGCTTTGCTCCAAACGTGAGTTTCCTATGAGGGGAACTGAAAATTGGGCATATTAAAATAATGCTGGAGTTTAATTCCTCATAAATGGGGCTTCCAGTCTTTAAATAGGCTCAGTGTGTGTTCTCCTAAAGTTGGTCTCATAGCATGCATAAAATATAATCAAGTATTTAAGCATGAGCAGAAGGCACTTTCGGGGTTTGTCAGTCAAGGTGTGGCTTGACTCCATGCCTGATTCCAAGGTGCCATAAATCTCAGGGAATTTGTAGCCTCTTCTCCTTCCCCCATTTTAAAAGTGAATTCTCTTTCCATTCCTTACCACAGAAAACACACAAAGGAGGGATCATCCCTTTCCACACCAAAACCCACTGGCTTCCTGCTGGCTGCTCCTAAGCCTGGTGTGAGGAGCAGCCAATTCCTGAAGCAAAAAAGGGAAGAAGGATCTGCTTCCTCACTTGATTCATAGCCCCACACACCCAGAGAAGAGATCTCCCAGGAGACAGCGTTCAGGATATTAAACAGATCACATATTTGATTTGAAGTGAAAGACCAAGAAGACAAGATCACAGAATGAGAGAAGTTACAGATGGAAAAGGTCTAAGAGGTTATGCAATCCATCAGTCTGGACGTTGCATAATTGCTCCCCACAGTATATTTTTAGTGCTTTATCCAGACAAATCATTAAGTGCTTTAAAATGGGCCAGATTCCTCAAATGCAGTGCGTGCTAAGTCACAGCTGATTTCACTGAGCCTCGCAGCCCCAGTGTCTAACAAGACACCAAAAGGAAGTTTTGTGTGGTCAGAGAGAACAGAACGGGCCCTTCCAGAAATAATCCAGGCCTGATTCACTATCCCTCACAGGAATCTCTCCTAAATTGACTGAATGAGACCTCTAAAATCTCATTTTCGGATTACAGCGAATAATACATTATTACTTATTCAGATGTTCTCTTAGGCCAAAGTCAAACACTGCTCATGCTCATGCGAACACGATTTGTTTTAAGCCAGCTTCAAAGCCGGCTCAGCAAAGCGTAAAGAATGTTTATTTAAAATATAGTTGCTAAATTTAGCATGAGCTCGGTTAGCCTAAATCTTAGCGACATTTTTAGAGAGCACATTGCGAATCAGGAATGCATGGAGAAATAAATAAACTTTCCCACATTTTTGGAAATTGAGGGAGAATTTGTGAGCTCTTTCTCGCACGGGCGATTTCCGTGGATTGGAGGATGCAAATTTCCCACTGAACAGACAGTTGGAAACACACAATGCTGATCATTTTCACTGCAGTTTGGTTTCAAATAATGCTTCCTCAAGGAGGAAACAAAAGCTGTCAGTTTTTTTTTTTTTACAGAAATTACGCAGAGCACCAACATGTTTCAATATTTACCCAAGCTCTTTGCGAAGCACCGAGAAGAAAATGGAGCTGGGCTTGGGCATGAGCCAAATCTCAGGTTTGGATTAGGTCTTGTGACCTTTCCTAGTAATTCTGATACTGGATTTTACACCCACCTCTTGCACATTGGTTCAAACATCCCCCGGCTGGATGTTGGGCTGGTGAAATGCCAGCCAAGCTCTGGGTTGGATATTTAGACAGAAAATTTTCATGAAGAAATTTATGAAAATTTTTATGTCTTTTTAGACAGAAATTTTTCACTTTCTTAAGCTTCCACAGCTTAAAGAGGCACATCTGGGTCACCTTTGCCTCAAGTGGCATTGTCTGAGAGACCTGAGCAAACCCGTGATGAGCAGACATGTGATAAAGTCTCTTTTATCAGGTGACTTTTCATCATTTCCCTCCATCCTTCCCACCCTTGGGTTGCCGTGAGTGGAATGTTTCTGCTCCTGAAGTGGGAGGATTCCAGCTGTGCCCCTCATGGGGCTGCAGGGCACAAGGGATGAGTCCAAGAACCCCCATTGCCTTTGGTGGGATTGGGATCAGCTCCTCCCCAAGCACACAGGTGGAATAAGGAGGCGTGGAAAAAAACACAGGGTCGATTTCTTCTTCCAAAGTCAGAGCTCCACCACTTCCACTGGTTCTAGCAGCTTCCAGCACCTGCATCCTGTGCCTCAGGTTTCCATGGCGGTGCCAAATCCCACCTGCAGACCCATCCTTCCCAGATGAGGCTTTGCAAATCCGCTGGCCCAACCCAGTAATTCCCAAATCCACGGTGAGCTGGACCCCCTAATTCTTCACTACCTATCTCCAATTGCTTACTGGGTTTCTGTTTTCCTTAGAAGAGCAATATGTAATAATAGTTGTTACAATAATTGTATTTCTGTTTTTACATCTGTAAAGATTAAGTTAAACAGTATGAAGCCCATTAAACTATTTCATGTCATGCTGCCATAAATTTCCTCCATTCCCATTGCTACTATTATTCCAGAGTAAACTCTGAGATCAAGCTGCTGCCAC